CTTTCAATCGGATGCACAAACCCTAATACGCGTCTACATTCCGAAAACATGGTTGTACGTTGCCTACAAAAGTGTTTAGGTGCCGAAACAGACATGAGTACCTCTTGGCCAACCCACGTCCGTACTTTCCCTATCATCACAAGGGCGGGCGCACATGCCCGCAGTGTATTGGAATGAAACGGATACGGTGTAATAATGACGGATGTCAGTCATTATTGCCGGCTCCTTATAAACGGGGGAAAATAAAATGCAGGAAAAACGTTATTTCCTATTTTTTAAACACATTTCGCATGCCACACACCGTTTTACGCTTGGCTAGTGGGTCGAGGCCCCAGGGGCCAAGTCCCACTAGGGAAGAGTAAATCGGTGTGTGGCACATTTTTCTGATTTTAAAAATGCCGATGGAGGGTTTTCTCGGTTTTTTTGTTTTTGTACACGATGACAAGGCATGCTCACAGTAGCACTTGGGAGAATGCATCCAACTGCATTCACGTCCCAGCGGTGTACCTCAGGTTCAACCCCACACAACAGAACCTGACACCGTTTTCCGGGGCGTGTCTGGCGGGCTCTGCACACAAACGACGTCGGAAAGAGGCTGGGCGGGAAGCTTCAAAAACACCCCCTGGGTCAAAAAACCATAAAATTGAAGCTTCCCGCCCAACGAACGTGGCCAACTAAAACAGCAACAAAACATTTCTAAAACATGCTACTGGACGTGGGGCACTTTGGAAACGGGCGGGTTGGGCAAAAATGAGTGGGCGGTCGATGTCCACTGCAATCGGTGGCTCACGTGAGTCACCCCGGGCCGCACGTCGTTGAAAGCCCAGCCTCGGACTTGGCCCCAGGAATGCGATTATACTCGTCGAGGGGTCACACAGCACGATTCATAAAAATCCATCCCTTTCTCCTGTTTTCTCTTTTTTTCCTTACGAGAGCTGCCCACGAATTTCGAATTCTTTTTCTTTTGTTTCCAGAAAGAAACAGGTCTAAAAGAAATATTAGGCAATTGAGGGCATAGGAAGCAGGGCACCTTTCGTATGGAGAGAAAAAACATCACTTCAGAGGGTAAGAGTATTAGAAGAGAAAGGCCAAAGAGTGGTCGTCCATCCAGAACGACCGATTCAAGACCTGCCTTTTGACCCGGCAGAATGGATCTGGCAGCATGCTCAAATGAGAGGAGGGACTACAACACGTCATACCAGCCTACACCAGATATCAGTCAAAACAGCCATCAAAATGCTTAGACCCAAAAGGCACTTAAAGGAGGTGATAAATGATAGGTGGGCTAGACATCTGAACGTGGACCGCTCTCTCCTTTCACCAATCAAATGGTTTAAAGAACAAAAATCAAGACCCATGAAAATTACCTCTCTGCAGTGGCAGATAGCTCATCGCTGTCTGCCAACAAATGATTGGTTGACAGATCGCACACACCTCGAGCAAAGGGGACTACTGCTCCCATGGTGCCAGCGCTGTCAGAACCTGTTCCCCTTCTGCAAAAAGGCGGAGACCATTGAGCACATCTTTATGCAATGCCCGATTGTGCAGTTCACATGGAGATGGTGGGACCGCATTTGGCGGAAAATGGTACCCGATATACCCTGGCCCTGGACATGGCAAGCCATAATGGCGGGCCATTGGAAGGTTTCAGCAACTGCCACAACCTTCGCAGAGAACATGTACAGACTAGGGAGAAGGGCGGTAATATGGGCGCTTTGGTGGCAAAGGTGCACTCTGGCCATGGAAAAAGTAAGGGTGGAAGGGCAAGAGATTGAGGAACAAATTCGACAGCAGATCCAGCTGGATCTCACACAGAGATGGGCTGACACAAGATCACAGTTAAACCTTCTTAAGCAGCTAGGAGACATTAGAAGACGGATCACGACTTTTTGTACAGATTGGATAGGGGGTGAAAGGGAAGGATGGATAGCAAAGGTGGAGTGGGTCGGCGACAGGAAAGAAGGAACACGTGACCTAGAAGAGATTAGAGACTACAAATTGGTTTTCAAAGACTGGACTAACATAGAGCCCTGTTTCCCACTGCGCCCTCCTGCGGACTTCCCAGATCCCTTCCCGCCCCATGCCCTGTCACTGGCTGAAATCCTAACATGATTGACCCGCCGGTACCCTACCTGCATCTGCTCTGCATCTGTTTTGGCATCTTTTCGGTAATGCAGTGAGAGGAACCCTCCCCGGTACCCCCTGGGGAAGGACTCCGCTCCCTCCAGTGTGTGGTCCCTCTGAGTAGCATCAGTCCCTAGTATCAGCCCCTAGCGTTCTATCTGACGCCCTTTTATAAGGGTGAAGAGATACATAAGAGATTGGCTGCCCTGCATGCTTACACATGGCTACTGGATATTACACAGGATCTGCTCAGTCAATCCCCTGGGTTGCAGGGCAATCAATGCTGGCAGACTCCATAGCCACTATTCTCACAGGGTCTGCTCAGTCAATCCCCTGTGTTGCAGGGTAATCAATGCTGGCAGATCTCACAAATCACTGTTCTCATCTTCTCAAGACATGTTTSTTTCAAGGGACGCTGGACCCGTTTTCCAGCAGGTGATGCTCCCCACTAATAGATGGAGCCTCTCCCCAGGTGTTAGTGGTGTCTGCTCTTACCAGCAGCACTAACACTGGTGGGGGTGTGTTTCAAAAAAAAAAAGAAAAAAAAAAGAGGGCATACTAACACTAGCACCCATTTTCATAACATCGTACATCAGACCCCCTGTGCCAGGGAGAAGAGGTCCCCGCAGCATCCCTGGTTGTGTCCCTCTTCAGTAGTACAATTGGTCTTACAAGCCTTGCTCTCGCACCACTGCTGTGGTGCCAACCTACCCCATGGTAGATTGTTCAACACAATCAGCAAAATGACATGCTCATCTGACAGGACTGTATGCGAACCATCACACTATTCGAGAGCAGACAGACAAGTATAACCATCCATAGAGCAGGAAAAGAGAACCATCCACAGAGCAGAATAAGAGAAGCATCAAACAGAAGGAGAAGATGACACGGCAACTCTCCCGAACGCGCGACCCAGATGTGTCGTCGAAATAATTACCCTGAAGCACAGCCCATCATCAACTGGTCTTCCTGCAATAGCGACCAACAGAATCCTGACCGTGCAACAGAGTCCTTCGGGACATCCGTTAAAATTGGAATGATACACAGAAAGGTAATTAGCATGGAATTTATCATCTTACTTATTGCTAAACCTTCAGAATGAAAGGGTTGCTGGACCTGATTTCCAGCATTCGGTCTACTGGAAGTTACCAGTTGTCCGATGGCAGGTCTACTGGACGTTACCAGTTGTCCGATGGCAGGTCTACTGGAAGTTACCAGTTGTCCGATGGCAGGACGTCCTGGCCGGACGTCCTGGGCGGAGTCAGGGGGGTCCCGAACGTCCGGGCCCGGACAACTCCATTTTTAGCAATTAAATGCACGAAAAAAAAAAACAATGGGGGTGCCTTTAATTTTATTTTCTATTTTAAAATTGACAACGAATTTCGATATCATCCCAAGGCAAAAGTTGTTCAGTTTATGTTTCTGCATAACATAGTTTTTTTTTTTTAGATTCTCTGGAGGACTTTTTTTTTTTTTTTTTTTTTTTTTGCCGTTCGGACTCGGACAGTCTGCCAGGGGAGGATGTCCGACCGGTTGTCCGAGCGGACAATCCCGGACAGTCGGGGGGTCCCGGACGTCCGATCTGGAACTTATCCAGAAAACAGGACGCTGGACCTGGTTTCCAGCATCCAGCATTTTAGACGTGGTATGTGGATCAGATAGGCAGGTAGTAGAGCTAGGCCCAGATAGGCAGGTAATCGAGCTAGGCTTGTAAGCAAAACTGGCTGAGGCTGCCAGGATAACCCCGGGTAGAATTGTGAGGGCCCCGGCCTCGTCCAAATTCTTCTGCAATAAAATTTTCATTATCCAAAAAAAAAAAAAAAGGGTAATTAGCATGGCCCCTGCGCAGGATGACACGCAWAAAAAAAAAAAAAAAAAAAGAATCCTGACCGTCGTCAGTATCCYGTATGCCGTCCCAAGAAAACTCAAAACAAGTAGCGGCGTGACCCTCCGTCGCGTCTTTTCGTCGGGTCGCCAGCCGGTAACCCGTGGGTCCGTTGGCTGGGGAGAGTTCCAGGTTTGGTTGGTGGTCCCCCCCTACTATACATAGAGTAGCCAGAGGATGAGATAGAATATATACAGAAAGAAGATTGAGAGAAGAATATAGATATACAAAAACAAAAAGCGCCGAAGCCGGGTAACGGCCCCCGGTACTCAGTAACTGTAACTGTTTCTTGGGGAGGATGGGCCCGATGATTGGGCCCGATTCCGAGCAGGTGCAGCCTCGCACCAATAGATAGGGGCAACCAGCACCAATAGTCCTACTACGCCATACTAGGGGGGGAAGGGGGGTTGTTTAAATCACCTCCCCCTAGTAGGCTGAGCAGGTGCAGGCCCCCTCCACTCCCTCCGCCCCCAGATAAAAAAAAAGACCGTCACAGGCGTCTGGCCGTGGCCCCCCAGGCGAGGTCCCACGTGAACGCGCAACCCGCTACTTGTAGCAGGATGAGCAGGTGCAGGCCCCCCSCACCCCCCCCCCCCAACCCAAGGTTTATGGCCGTGGCCTCTGCCCCGGGGCCAGGTCCCACTAGCACCTTTGTATTTCCTCAACGCCCGAATCTGGACGTCCTTTTGGGGAGGTGCGGTTGAGGAAACTCAGCGCGATTTTTTAACATGTCCGCAAACACGTCCAGATTCGGCGTTGAACTCAACGCTCTGCTATGTTAGTGGGACTTGGCCGCCGGGCGAGGTCCCACTGGCATGGACAACGAGGTACGAGATACTGCTCTCCGGTGATCGTGATCACAAAGATCGAAGGGCAGTACCTGGTCATGATCTGGGGCAAGTGGGACTTCACCGCTGGAGCACCGGGGTCGGCAGTGTAATTATAATGAGGCGGGGCGACGGTCGAGTAGAGCGGTCAGTAGAGTTTCAGGGTCAGATCCCACTACCCTGGATTATTCATTTTTGACCCTCGATTACGAAGATCAACGGTCAGAAATGAACAATAGGGGCTAGTGGGATCTGGCCCTCAGTAGAGTTCGAACGGAGAAAGCAAAAGGCTTTTACATTATATAATGAAACAATGCAACTCTGTTTTTTTAACGTTTTATTTTTTTAGTGGAGCAGTCAGTGGAGCTCGAACGGATAGAGGAGTGGAGCGGTGAGTTGAGTTTGCAAAGGGCTTCTTTTTCTGTGTGTGTGTTTTCTGGAGGAGGGGAGAGGTCGGGGGGAGGGAGGAGGGGGAGCTTCCGCACGTCCCCGGTAGTTGGAGCGGCAGCGAGCTCAGGACTTGAGGGAGAAGATCAACCATAGCTAGTGCACAAGAGTGGTCGACAGTTCGTACAGCATCACAGGTGAGTAGCTGAACCGGAAGACGGTGCACGATGATCTTCATTTCCCTTTGTGACTTCCGCGCTACGCTACTTTGCTCTACGCAGTTATAAATTGTACCGGTAGTCTCTCCTTAGTATACATCCTCCCTTCTTCGTCCTGCTTCTTGAACGCTCCACTGGCAGGCGCAGAACCATAGCGAAGCTTCCACTCTCTCTCTCTCTCTCTCTCTCTCTCTCTCTCTCTCTCTCTCTCTCTCTCTCTCTCT